CATTCTTTTCTATTCCCCGCTAAATCCTAACATGTCCCTATATGTTCCTAGATATCCCATAATCCCCTCCCCCACATATTTAAGGCACCCCGCCAGACCCCAACATTAAATATTCCCGGTTGTGGTATTTTGTAGTATATTGGGAGTGTTTAATGTTAGGGTGGGTGGGGTGGTTTAATATTAGGAGGAGGGGATTACTATTCCTGTGTCCTCAAGAAGCTTGTTTCTTGCCAACCTCCGAGGCCGAAGCGATCCTGTCACGGCTGCTGAAGGTAGCAGCTGAATCGGCGGCTGCAAGGACTGCGCCCAATAAGGGTTTACTCCAGGTGTTACTTAAGACAATTCTCTTCCCAATAAAAAGCGAGCACTCATAAGATTATGATGACGACGTGGAGATGTGGAGCGCCCTGAGTAATCCAGGAGAGACCATTCTGTGGCCCCTCTTTGGTGATTGCAGTCTTACTGCTACCAACACCTTCAACCCTAAACCCTAAGCCCAAAATCTTCATTTGACTGCTGTCTTGCTAGTGAGCGTGAGGTTTCACGAGATCCTGGTTTCTACCGTCGCTAGAAACCGTCGCTAGGTTCAAGGATAAGAAACGAGCTCTACCACGGTCTGTAAAGATTAGGATTTAGGGTTTGGGTCTACAGAGATTACATGCTCCTTTCCCTTGACGAATTATTCGTAGACTTCTACTGTAGTAGAACGCCAATGAACTGTTGAAGATATGGTTTTAGATTAGGGTTTAAAGGGTTGATGGCAAAGAAAGTGCGAAGAAGCTACGAATTGGGTTTAGGGATTAGGTACAGCACGGGCAAGTATGGGCCACTGCTTTCAGTTTGGGAGATTGCAGGTTGAAGTGTGAAGTTGTGCCTTCGACCAGCCTCTTTGCCCAAGCTTGGCGCCTTTCGTCGGTATGTTAAAATGGGATTCCTTGCCAGGCGGGTTTAGGGTTTAGGGTTTTGACACACAGTATATTAATGTAACTGCTGACAACTTAACATCAGCTCAGAAGTTGCACACGGGATCATCCCAACCGTTTCCCCCCATTGCTACTCGCAAAATAGTCGGATGTTGCATAGATTGTTCACATGTGTCCCTCTTGGAGTGCACTTCAGAAATCCGTTTTTTTTGACGGCCCTTGTATGTTTCCCCTGTCGCTTTGGCACTTCAAAACCCCTAAACCCTAAACCCTAAACCATGTCAAGGACCAGCCAGATGCTGGCAACAGCTGAGTTCATTGAGCTCAACGGTGGCAGGCGCAATCAAAACATCGTCCAGGTGAGTTAAGGTTTAGGGTTTAGGGTTTAGGGTTTTTTGAGCGGTGAGTTAAGAAGTTCTTGTGGCAAATTCTTCTAGCTTAGTACCTGGTCAGCCCTCAGGTATCCACATGTGTCACAGGGGTTGGGGGCGGTGGCCCTACCCCAGTAAGCCTTCAACAGAACCTACCCTAAACCCTAAAACCCCGTATAGCCATATATCTGTCCTTTGAAGGAACATGGGGCATCAGAAAGTCTTTCTGATGAGGATCTTCTACTCTACCTGCTTAAGGCTTACCCGTACTTGTGGGACGTCCCAGAAGTATCCCGAATGGATGCGGCCCCTCATCCCTGCACAATCCCAACTGATCAGACCGCTTTTCGTTCCAGCTCCCCTTCCCCGAGAGAAGAAACAGTACTGATGCAAGTTTATACAGTCTATACTGCTGCACCTCAAGTATGCGATGCTAGCCGTGAATCATCTACAACCGGCGGAGTCCTTTCAAATGATACTCACAAGAACACCCTAATAAGCCCTTTCAGAACCCAGACAACTCTATTCTGACCTTCGCCCCTAGATACCTACCTCAACCAAGCTTAAACCCATCCTCCCGGAACTTTGGAAGGCTACCTTTCGCTCGGCTCCTGCGAAGCCTCGCCAGCGGAACGTGCGGTGTCCCAGGTATGTAGGCTCAGTCTGCTGCTACCGCAAAAGGGTTTAGGGCCTGGGGCTTAGGCTTCAGGGCTTAGTGGGGCTTACATTTCCCTTCCTCTAGGGGTTAGGGTCTGGAGATATTACAGCTACTTGATATATGCTGTTGAGCGATGAATTTGCAGTTCTTGCGTGCAAGATACTCGCGGGTTATGAGGCAAAACGGGGCCAACGGCAAGTCTTGGTGAGTATGCAATCACTAAAGGGCGGCAATATAGGCACTGTTCTTGGGGATACGGCAGGGACTGCTGGGGTCCATTCCTTCATTCCCTGCTAGCCACCAATAAAAGGTCCCAGCAAGCCGCTCGTGTACTTTTAAATATGGCGGTCCTGCTTCTGCACAGTCAAACATTCCCTAAAGCTCCATGTAAGTACTATTTATAGGGTTTGGGGCCCAAAGTAGGTACTATTTATAGACTTAGAGCCCCAGGGATTACCTATGAAAAGGAACCTCAAGAGGGATCCCTGATTTTTTGTTGAATTGCCACTTGGGAGTTTCCTCACAGGTTCGCTTTTGTGGGTACGGGTAGACTTGTTGTCCCAGGCCGCTACGATCAGCAGCTGAGACGGTAATTGAGTAGGACCTTCTAGAATTTTCACGGGAAGTCACCCAACAAGGCATTCCATGGTGAAGCTTGTGTATGCAAATTCACCTGAAACGGAGGGTTTTTTTGAGGATCCACTTGCATTTCGACGAGAAGAGTGTCACCTTTTGAACAGGGTCAAGAGGGGGTAGATAGGCCTCCATCATGTGGCCTTCTTTACCCCCAAAAAGACTACGCGAGATACCTTCCACGCCTTGATGAGCCACATAGCCCCTCTTTGAATGGGTTGCTGTTGAGCAACTCAAACTAAGTTACCCTAATGAGTACATACATATATATATATATATACAGAAAGGGATATATATAGTAAATAATAGGGTTTCCCTAATACAGTAACTCACCTTAAGTTCCTTGCCAGCAACCCAGCTTAACGGACCCTATAACTCACTCCCCCTACCCCCCCTATGAGTAGGTAAGCCCTGGTGGCACCCAGGTCCCTCAACATGGTCAACCGATTCCAGGCCCTTCGGCGAGCTACAGTGTTTCAGGTTTAGGGTTTAGGGTTTAGAGTTTAGGGTTTGGATGGGTTTAGGGTTGAGGGTTGAGGGGGTTCAGGCCTATCATACCGTAGTTAGACTGGTGAATTGGGGGTTGTCAAATATGGTCTCGACCTAGTACGCCAATTTCAAGCCATTACAGCATCCCAGTGTCCGTTTCATGTTCCGTGTCCTTTCTCAATTTTATTCTCCACTATAATCCATAACGCTGAAGGTGATGGGAGTTTTGAGCTGGTTCAGGATTTAGGGTTTATAGCCCCCTTGAAGTAGATGGAATATGGCTTTGGGTATATTATAATAAGATCCCCCTATACTCCATATTCTATCTACTTACGGGGGACTATAGAGTTTAGGCCTGCCTCTGGAACTTGGAGATTGCGAGCACGGTTCGGAAATCAGAAGGCACAAATACATAGCCCACAGCCCTACCTAAACCCCAAAAGTATGCAAAATAATAGCCCTAAACCTTCAATAATAGCCACAAAGGGCCATTATTTTACATACTTTTGGGGTTTAGGTACCAGAATCAGTATATTTCTACTACATGCCTACTATATTCTGGGGTTGCCTGCTCGGAGTCCTCATGACAGTCCTTCTAGGCAATGTAATTATGTCGGAGTTGCGTGGGTTGCCAGGTACCCAAAATCATGAATATGTGTATTTCCGGCAAGTGAGGTGTCCCTTTGCACACCCAAAATGCGTAAACCTTTCCTACCAGGCCTCCCGGAAGAGGGCTCCCTAGTTCTGGAATGTCCTCCTATGTGTTACTTGCTTCTTGGGGTGTCTCAGTTTTGGGGGGGCGCCATTGCAGGACGAATTAGCTGTCTTCCATATTGACCCATAGGAGTGACAATGTAAGAGAGTCCTTCGTACAAACAGGTATAACAGGCAGTGTAAAACATTTATGTATATATATATATGTACATACACATATACACGTATCCGTATATATATATATATGCACATGTATAAAGGCTGACCAGAGACTCCTAAGCTGGCAAACCCACTACTCGAATTCTCTCAGCTCTCTATGCCTTAAATGGAGATTTCCAAGGCAGGGGTCCCATATGTACCACCAAACATGGTATAATCCTTGTTCTGGACCCTCTTTGGTTGTTTTTGGAAAACCCAAAGTCCTTAAAGCATACACCCCAAACTCTACATGTAATCCCTAAATCCTGAATTTAGGCCCTCAACCATAAATTTCAGCCCTAAACCCAAAATTTGAACCCTAAATCCTATACAAGCCTTCGGCCCCACGCCGCAAATCATCCTAAACCCCAAACCCTAAACCCTAGACCTCACTGAAGGACGCAGAGCCAGCCCTCCTTGTTCGCTTCTTCTGTGCAGCGGCCCCGACAGCCCATGAGCCACGCGGTTTCGGGTTTACGATTTAGGGATTAGGGTTTAGGGTTTAGGGTAGGGTAAGGGAATATTAGAGTGATAGAGGAAATGTGTAGGGAATGCTAAAAATGAGGAATGTATAGGGCTCAAGGGACATAACCTTAATCATGGAGAATTGAACTTCTGCGGATTATTGACCCTCCAAGTAGGGATATAAACGCAAAAGAGATACCTTCCCCTTTTCCCCTATCAATGCGAATTTCGCAAAGTGTGTGTGTGTGTGGCAAAGAGACAAGTATGCCCCGAACATGTTGGGATCCTTGTTCTAGCAATCCGCGGGAGGCCCGCAACAATCTGAAACACCAGCTCATAATCCCTCACACCCTGTGCCAATGGCACGCTCAAACAGCTAAATCCTGTGCATCCTGATATACCCTGTACATGCTTGTATACGACATTATTTGGTGCTGCACTTGCTGCGGAGACCATGGGTGGCATGAGTGCTTCTGGTCTGCACACGACTTCCGCAAGCTATGTTGATCAAGCCCCTTTTTCTGTCGAACACACTAACTAGGGAACATCATGGTTGAAGTTCTTCTTCGATGCGGTCTGCTCTTCTTGATTTCATTGGGTGGAAGCTTGGGCAAATTCTAGACACAAGTTTATTTCTCGACCAGACAACTTACAAAGAACTACAGAATCAAAAAGACTTTCTTGTTCTGGCCTCATTAAACCAGCTAGAGGAGCGTCGGCGGAACGTTCCCTCATCGATCGCGAGGAAGTTCGTGAAGAGATCGCAGCCCATGTGCAGGAGTCCCACTCCGAACAGGATGGCGGAGAGCATCACGAACCGGGTAAGCACGACATCCGCGTGTATGACGGATATAGGTACAGCGAGCTCCAGCTTGACATCAAACACCCACAAAAGCGCTGGGCAAATCTCATCTGCGCTGAGAACGAAAGGCGCAAGGGCTACACCATGGCGGAGTGGTTCCACTGGTGCAAGGACAAGAGAAACTTTGTGGCAGTTAGCCGAATGGATGCTCAGAGTAGTTCCTACCTAAACCCCAAAAGTATGTAAAATAATGGCCCTAAACCCTTAATTTAATAGTAGCCATAAAGGCCATTCTTTTACATACTTTTGAGATTTAGGTACCAGCCCCAAGACTATAGTTTCCGTTTTTACATTCCCTAAAGCCTGAACTTGAACCCTAAGGAGTAGACCTGCCTTGCCAGTCCTTCAGGATCAATGATCCCTACAACCCACTGTTTCATCTGTAGACTCTCAACTTGCTTGGGGTCAAGGGGTTTGGGTGTGGGGTTTGAGGCCAAATACACGCCAATATTTCAGTATATTTAGTAACAACAGAAAAGAAACCGTAAAATGTCACGGCAAGGAAATCGATGCACGGGAACTGATTCGTGGATGGCCGCCAAGAAGAAGGGCCGCGAAGATCCGGGAGTCTTAGAGGACAGGAGTTCGTTATTCCCCTGCTACCCCACTAGTTTCCCCTTGGTTAAGACTGTCTAAGCATAAAGTATAAGGTAAGGGTTAACCTGGGTGGGGGGTACTACAGGGGGGCGATTAGGAGAACCCATGGAGTTGTACTGGCATACTGTGGGAGCCCGAATAATTGCCAATATTTTTCCACCACAAGCCTTTTTAGCAACAGTGTGATATCCCTAGCACCATTCCAAACATTTAGTAGCCCCGAAGTGGTACCGGCATGCTGTAGGAGCCTGTTTCATCTGAAAAGAGTCCAGGATTTGATCGCAATAGGGTTTCGGGGCTTGTTCTCGTATAGTTATTTCAAGCATTCGTAGTTGTTCAGGCTTCTGCATTACATGATCAGCCGGTTCTTCATGTGCTGGTGTCGTTTTTGAACAGGATTGAAAAAGAAAGTGGTGCTTCTGAACTTTGTCGCTGTGCAATCCTCAGTAGTGACTTCAAACACCTCCTTCATGGCCCTTAGCATCCTTGAAGTATGAACTTCTTAGTCTTACTTAGCCAGTATAAAGAACTTAGACCTTTTTGGGCTTCCTTCTTGAGTCTCTATAATAAAGTTTAAGCTTTTTGAGCCCTGGTTATGTGGGAAGAGAGTAGTAGCTGAGTAGTTGCTCGTGACACTTCTTGATTTCCACTACAACCCTATGTATAGTTACATTTTGGTTATTTTGAGCTGAGGAAACTCAGCAACAACTGTGATTTTAGGGTTCTTCCGAAGCATAATGTTGAAACCTGAAGAGTTGGTGACGCATGCTCCGATCGCCTGGTGATCTCGCGCGTTTTAGTATTTGTTGAAGGGTTCCTTGCCTCCTCCGCTGACCTGAGCAAGCAAGGATCAGTCCGATTCGTCCACGCTTGGCTCCATAGCATCCATGCCCAAATTTGAATAACGTTCGTGTTCCAAGAACATCCGATAACCAGAGCATCCAGCGTGTTGTCATGGAGGAAATGATCGCTCCTTCGCTTGAGTGCGTAGCGAGTCCGCTTGTGTGGACGTGTCTCAATAGTTTGAAGTCTTGAGCTTTTGCGTGCCCAGCACCACTGCATCTGCCATGCCTTGTTGCGCTGTATGCTAGCAGATGTATTTGTGCGTGCCATGCGTGCTGTGATCATGTGGAAGGCAGGAAGCGTGTCCACATGAGCTACATGCTAAGAGCAAGCATTCACTTGCAGGTCTTGAGAAACCTTTCTTGTGCCCACCCGCCCATTTGGGGTGAGGGTGGCCCTGGCTCTAATAAACTGCCCGTAGGCCTGTAGGGGAGAGGAGCGGACAAGAGCTTCTCCACGTCACCACAAGAAACAGAAGGGCCTCGCCTTGTGCGGCGTGTCTTGTGACTTGTAAGCGTAGCCTCTTGTCAGCAGCTCCTTTGGTTAACCACATCTGGAGTGAGCCCCAGTGTCTCCTTAGGCCACGTCAGCTTGGAGTGAATGCCTACACCATAAAAGCATTCGCGTTCCAAGAGCAGTAGACTCTAAGCGAAATGAGCTAGCTGTGCGTTTTGGATGCCCCGCGTTTCATTGGAGGAGGCCAACAAATTAGTACTTTTCGTCCCACCGAATGCAGATAATCATGCCAAAAACTAACTAGTTCACACGGCTTTGCACTTACCCATTTTGCGGCTGGCAATGCTCAAAAACCGCAGTTTCGTGCTTTTTTTGTCTTCTCAGCCACCTAGGCGTCATACGCGCGTGACCTAGATACCAGTATCATGAATTCAGAATTAGGGGCATTTGCCCCATAATGGAGAACCGAATGGAAAAGAACATGCAAAATGAAATGGCAACTGTGATTATATCAGGGTTTACAGGGATAATTGCCAATGTTATGGTCGTAGGATCCTCGAATAATCATGGCACGGGGTACCAAGATGGACCGCAAAATGTTACTGGCAATTGTTTAGGCTTCTGCATCAAATACTGGGATAGAATCCTGATATGTTACCTTCTTCCCTACTAAGCCTAAATCCCAAACCCTAAATCTTATGATGTATCTCTTTGGTTCCCACTGACCCCATAAACCCTAAACCCTAACCCTAAACCCTAAACCCTGAACCCTATCTCTTTCCCACTGACCCCAGAAAGTTTGGAGGATAAGAGGATTCGGGAATGCCGCCCCGCAGACTTCCGATTGGGCCATGATGGCCATTGGTATCTGAGCTACAAAATAAGGTTTATGGTTCTAAGGGTTTAGTTTAGGGTTTAGCGATCTAGGGTTTAAGGGTTTAGGGTTTAGGGCTTGAGGATTCAGAGCGTGTAGGGAGACACCCAAGTTATAATTGAATAATGGAGGATCCCGTGGAAGCTAAAGTGACAATTGAAATTAGGAGTTGGGGATGTTGGGGGTAATATGTAGGTCTGATCAGTGATCAGGGGGTTTGTTTGCGGGTAGTCGGCAGGAGTTAGCGAATGAAAAAGAGCACGGAAGCGACAATATTCATGCGACATATATAGGTGCTCCTCTAGGGATCCCTTCGTTCCCTACTAACTAGCAATCAGTGAATTTTGGAATTTGGCAGGTCCTTGTGTCCAAGTCCTTGCTCTAAAGGCCTTGAGAAAAGGTTCACGTTGTCCTGGATCCCAGCTTGAGTCCATCATGAAGAAACTTGCGATTATGCACTTGGAAAGCCCAGAAAACCTCTTTCCAGCGCATGAACTTCTAGTCCCGGCATTAATTCTTGAGAAGGTTTAGGAGATTGCCTTAAACAATTGCACCGTAACACCTGAAGGCTATACTCCTTAACCCGGAAACCCTACACCTCAACCCCCCCCCCCCCAACACCTGTCTTACTTTCTTACAGTCGTCCTTACATAATCCTAAGCTAACCATTACCATATTCGCCCATTTCATATTAGTAATCACTAAATGTCACTCGCTTTTTGTTGAAGAGTTTTTTGTACGTAGTTCAACAAATATATCATGAGGAGATGATTACTACCCCCAACCCTAGGACTCAACTTGGAGGTCTAATGTTCAGGGTTTAGGGTTTAGGGTTTCGGGGTTTGGCTTACAAGCTTCATATTACTAATCAGCCTCACACGATCCTTACAGAGTTCTATGAAACCTCTATATGGCAACTTCCAAACAGAATAGGGGCACCCCAACATAGACCCCAATCTACTGACCCTGACACTGACACAATCCCGAACGTCCAGGGTCGTCCTGCGTAGCCATGTATGCTTGGCATTCAGGCTGCTCGCCCCAAGCAATCCCCCAGGTTGTTTCCCGGACAGGCTGAAAGAGCAATGCTCCCCCCCAATCTACTATAGTCCTTATTGTGGGGACCCCCCCAAAAGTACCCCTCTTGGGAACTACCATATGGCAGATTCCCAAAATAAAGGGACCCCAATATAGACCCCAAAATAGTACCCTAATTTTGGGAAACCCCCAAATATTCCTAAACCCTAAACCCTAAACCTCAAACCCTAAACCCTAAACCCTAAATATATTCCGTTTCAGGTACCTTTTGGAGGAGTTCCGCGCGCACTTTGACCAGCCAATGGTCCCGGGCATGGGGGAGGCCATCTTCAATCAGGTGCAGGGGCTACGAGGTGTAGGTAGGATTTAATAAAGGGACTCTACTGGGAACCCCAAATAGGGAACCCCAAGAAGATAGCAGGAATATAATGGAATATAAGGACCCTGGTAGGTATATTCCTATTATATACCTACTATATTCTTGGGGTTCCCGGT